TAGATTATTAATTATTATGCTCTATGAGTCATATCCGGCGTCAAGAGCATGGCACATCAATATCACTTCCTGTTTCTTATCCATGTGTGTATGTAGTATCTATGGTGAAATACAGCGCAGAATACAGTAGACTGACCTATCCTATACTTTTTTAAAGAATAAATGTGCATGACTTTCCTTTCTCTAACTTGCAGAGCATCTCAGGCTTCTCTTCAATGGTATTTCTCTCGGTTAAACTCCGTAAGCTCCTTGCTGAAGCAGTCATTTTAACCGGTTATTAATAAATTAACTAGTCTGAGCATGCGCATTAGAGACAGCCATGCGTTCGGATAAACGAGGGTTCGGATAAAAGAGGTACGGATAATCGAGGACGTACTGCGTAGGCGTATTTGGACCCGGGCAAGCATGGGCTTTGCCCGGGTAGAAATTTTCAGCCATAATTATATTCATTAGTTATTGTATTATACACAGTATTGTAACAGTGGGAGGACTGTTGACCACAATAGGTAGAACTGTTAACCACAATAATTTAGCACACACCTACATGTTACAAGTGTTTATTCAAGCACCAGGGCAGCTATAGGTCTTAAATTTAAAATGCCTTTGCCCAAATTGCCCCAATCAATAGTTAAAGGTATGATTAACTAATTAGATATATGAATAATTAATTAATTATATGAATAAATAATTAAGTGCCCTAGTAGATGGAGAAGGCTAGATACGCCTATGACGTACTGTAATATTGTATACTACTGTATAGCACTGTATACTACTGTACACTACTGTATACTACAGGTGCATTGCATATGCACAAGAAAGACCAACACAAAAAGTAAAATTACTGGGTAGATCACAAACTGCCTTAAAATACCATCAAACAAAACACAAAGCTGTTTAATACATTATTAGGATACATTTGAGGCCTGCAATTATTCGCAGTGATAAAAATATTCAGACAATAACACCAGATATTTAGTGTTCAGCTATTCATCTATTCTTCAGCAGCTTTAGTGGAGCCATTCACCAATAGTGACTCATTCTCTATTCATTAGCTTCTTGTATGGGCCTCTACATCAGAGCTCTTTGCTGCAAATTGTTGCTTCCGTGTGCTGGTGATAATCACACCCAAGTCCATAAACACTAATTGGAATGGGTGGAAAGTTCTAAGATACAGCAAGACAGTAGTTCCGAAAAGAACTAATTAAAGCAGCACAAAAAGACCAAGAGTTAGTAACACAACAACCCAAGAACAGTACAGCAGCCTAGGGTGCTTTGCTTCAATACTACACCATTTTCAATTAAAATAACACCAAGTTGCTAAGCAATTGCTAGTCGTGGAAAAAATCGTCAGTAATAGCAGTTGTGAATATATCCCAACCTTTGGTATTACATATATATGTACATGTACAGTATTTCATGTACATGTATATGTACATGTACAGTACACTACGTGTACATGCATGTATGTACCAGTTTCAGCTGAGGAGGTTCTTGTAGGTAGGGATCACGACTAACCTAGACACAGTCATTAATTGATCACATGATCCGATTGTCTCAAGAATGTCTTTATTAACTAAAAAACAATTATAATAATTATTAATTATAATTAATGACTTAGCCCATCTTTACCTCTCTGATATCAGTAGTCTTTCATTTTCCAAATCATACGTAACAAATGAATTATTCTACATGTACATGTATAATGCCACAATAAAATATTATTATTATTATATTTATCATGTACCATGTTCTTCTGGTAATATTCCCATGCAATAATAATAGGATAAGCATTGAGAGGACTCCAGTGATAATAAATATAATTACAGCAATTAATGGACCAGCAACGAACTAATTCACCCTACAAGGAAAAGAGAGAAAAAATGTCATACAGTTGAGCCACTATACAATGGACACTTTGAGACAAGTTTGTTATACAGAGGTGTCCTTTATGAGGAGGTCAATTACGGTAAATACAAACTGTCCAGAC